TTAGCACATTAACAACAATATATTTCCTCTAAATGTAACAGGGTCACCCTCAGTGTGGAAATGGCTAGCCGGGGAAGAATCTTGAAAATTACTTATGGCATCCACCTGTGTGACGGGAGACCTTCGTGGTTCTGCAGGCTGACTTCCCCATGTCTCCACAATACAACTGTAATATCCTCGATCCCAAACAGGCAAAGGACCTGTTGCCATAAAGTCAATTCCAACTCACAGCCACTCTGTAGGACAGAGTAGGTGTGCCCCAAAGGATTCCAGGGCTGTCATCTTTATGGAAGCAGGCCACCACGTCTTTCTCCCACAGACCGCTGGTGGGTTCAAATCGCCAACCTTCCAGTTAGCAGCCAAGCACTTTAACCACTGTGTCACAAGGGTGCCTCTAGAAAGGTAGAACCAGGAGATCTGTGACGTCATCAAAGCTACCACGATTGACACTATGGGCACGGAGAGGCTGGGTCTGACCCCTTTGCCTTTGAGGTTGGCGCTATCAGAACCCTTAAAAGGAATGAAATAGCCTTGACCAAGCACTGTTGGGGAAAACAAATGCAAAAGCAACAACACATAGTGTCACCTAGGGATGCAGTGAGAGGACCCAGCCCCCTGGCAAAATGCCATGCTCTGGGCAAGAGTGGCTGTGCATGGTCACTAAGAGATGTCACTGTGATGCCTGAATGGCCAAGAAGGGGACAGCCACTGAACTACTGAGCAGTCTCAGGGCTGCGATCAACAGCGCCACCAAGTGGCTGCAGCTAAAGCAACAAGACAGATGGGCTAGTCAGTAGCCTCAGGCTCCCTCTTGGCTTGGAAGCCAAATGGGCTTTGGAGTATTCCGTGGATAGATAGACAGGAAGGTCTGTGCTCAAAGGAAAGATGTGAGACCTAACCTCCTATTCCTTAAGAACAGCTGAGGTGCCTGGGTGATTAATTAGAAAAATAAAAGAATGATGAACATGGTGTGGCACCCTGGATCAGTGCTCAGGTCCCTGGGTGATGCAAATGGTTAGTGCTTGACTACTAGCCTCGAGGTTGGCAGTTCAAATCCACTCAGTGGAAGGTCTGGTGACCTGCTTTTGTAAAGACTGCAGCCAAGAAAAGCCCAGAGAACAGTTCTACTCTGCAACATGTGAGGGCGCCGTGAGTCAGAATTGACTTGACAGAAGCGAGTTAGGCCTTTTGGTTTGGAAGCCAGTGCCCGAGAGCTGACTTTCTTCTGGATGTCAGAATTTGGGGGGAAGGAGGGAAGGTGTAAGTTTAAATGATGAATATATAAGTTTGCATCAGGAATAAAGAGATTTGCTTTCATTACAGCCAAACCCAGTCCTGACATAGTTTCAGGCACTAAGAATGGCAACCAGAGGAACACTGGCACGGGAGACATCGTGCTTGAGGGGAAGATGTGAGGCTTTGAAATTTCATCACAACCTTCTAATAATACCTCCACATGCTCTGCAGGCAAGCGTGGAGGCCCTACAGTCAAGCCTATCACCTCTCCCCAAGCTCCACAAGAGTAAAGGAACCTGTCAGCTTCCCTAAGAGAGAAAATGAAAAGGAAAACAGAGTCAAAGGGAAAAACTAAAGTGGCTTCTCATCTGTTTGAAGGGACAAGGCAGGAGAGAGGCAGGTCTGGTGCAGAGGCACGGGGGACCCTGGGGAAGCAGACCTGTGCTCCAGGAGCTGGGAAGTTTTAAGGAGCTGGAACAGCTCTCTGATAGTCACTGATGGGGAGATGGAAACAGAGCGTTTGAAAGTGTGGCTTTCAAAAAAAAAAAAAATATATATATATATATATATATACATACATATACATATATACACACGCACACACACACACATATATATATATACACACACACATATATATATACATAATTTATTTAATTAGTTGTTTATTTCTATTTTTGCAGTGTTTCCTCCTCTACCCTCTAACCCCTGGTAACCAACAAAGAATATTTCCTCAAAGAATATTATTTTTAGGAAGCAATTTTCCTCTTGCCATTCCTTCCCTTTGGAGACATTCAAATTAGGCCTTAAGTCATCAAGTCAGCTGGGGTTCCCCTTTGGGGTGTGGGTAAGGGTCAGAGCATCTGTAACATGAACTCACAGAAACCTCCAGCTCCAGCTTGCACCAGCTGCTGCCGGGCTGGTAGTAACAATAACTGCTCACCAAGATGGATTGAGCAGGGATAGAATCAAAGGCAGAAAATTAAAGATGAGATTAATAAAATGTGATGAAAGAAAACACCACTGGCCAACTAGCAGCTTAAATTACATTTACTCTGTCTGACGGGGAGGGGGCTATCAGGAGCACCAAGTCCAGATTCTGGAAAAACATTTTGGGCTAAATAATTTAACAGCAGGGTACCACCAGGGGAGGGCACTGATTCACCTTCCCAGAAAAGCATCAAGACAGGGTAGAAAACCCACCAATCACACAGAGCCAAAACTCACTTGGTTCAGCCCCTTGGCCAATTTAAGACCCAGATTCCCAAACAGCCTCTGAGTTTTAGCGAGAATTCACCAGAAAAGTGACAGCACTACAAACCCTTCTTCCTTCCAGCCCAGCCTGCCCACCTACAAGGGGACCCTCATCCACAACATCTAGACCTTGGTATGATCCAATAAATCAGTCGCTCTTCTAGGCAGGTCTGTGTTGCTGCCCATCAATTGAGCCTACTCGCTGCTCTTGGATTTGTCTCAGCACAAATGGCTCCTGGAGCCTGCCTTCCTATAAGTTCAGTCTGGGCCCTCAAACAGCGTCCTATTATAGGCAGGTTCCCCCTGCACCCTTCCCCCAGGCACCACAAAGTTCCCAAACTCCCAGTTATCTTCCCCTATAGCTTAGCGTGAACATATTCTGATTTAAATAATTTGGGTTTTGAACAGGAGGCCAGGTAATGCAAATTGACCACTCAGAATGGACTTCCAGCCTGTGTAGGGGAAGTAACACACCCTCCCCTTCCCTGGACCCCATGTATTGGAGGAAGCTTGTGAGGAGAGAAGGAAAAGTCCCACCGGTAGGACCTCCCAGAAGCTCTCCCACCCCACTCCTCTAGCCACTGCTCAAGTGGGGTCTTCCAGGACTCCATCTCCTCCCCGACAGCTTCCCATCTCAAGGCAACACCAACAGCCCAGGCCTTCTAGCCTGGGCCCATCACAAAACAGGATGACATCTGAATGTACAGGTGGGGAGAGGTGATCCTGCCCTGAGGCAAGTAACACTCTAGGATCCCAGTCCTTTTCCAGGAAGAAGCAGCTTTGCTACCTGAAGACTAAAGGGGCCCAGGGATCTGGGATTCAGATCCAGGAGTCTTCTGGGGAGGACCTGGAACTCTGTACCCCTCACACGCCTGCACCCTGAGTGAGGCTCCTGCAGCTGCTCCCTGGCCCCAGCTGCCCCACTGTATTCCTTTCCTCTTCAGCAGGGAGTTCCCTGGACTCGCTGACTGACTCTGATGAGGCTCTACCTCTTCCTCTGGACTCTCGTAGGACAGTCATCCCTGGCCCCAGACCACAGCTAAGAGGGTCACAATGGACCAGGGGCTTTGAAGTGAGGAAGAGTCTTTGGAGGAGGTATGCTGCTGGAACACCTGGCTCCTTCCCAAGACCCAAACTCTGTTGACATCATACTTAATCATCTTGAGTTCTCTCTGGTATAGCAGCCCCCTGCATCCAACTTATAAAGAAGAAAAAGGTGGTGGGACATTAGTCCCAGAAACCTTTCAATGTTAGAGGGTTATACAGATGGGGGGTAGTTTTATTTTTCTTTGGTGACTAAAATTGGTTTAAGGAAAGAATGGGATCCCATTCTACCAGAATAAAACTTAAACTGACCAGAAACTCAGCTAACCAGAATCTGCAAGTATCAGACATATTGATGCTCTCTGCTCTTTAAAGATGGGGAACCTATGAGAAAACAAGCGCATGTTCACACCTTCCCTGCCTGCCCCTCCGTGTGAGGCTTACTGAGCGCATAGCATTTTGTAAGAGATGGCCATTTGGAAGGCTCCTGGCACTGATCCCGGGGACAGAGCACAGGAGTTGTCCAGAATGATGCCCTCCTCAAGCTGCAGCCCAGGATGCAGCCTGCAACTCTGAATGAGGCCCTCGAACAGCCTGTCTCCAGAGACGGCAAATCTCTGCAACTGCAGCCAGCCTACGTTCTGGAAGGTTACACATCACACTGTTAACTGTGGTCACCCGAGTGTGGGTGAGTGGGCGCAGAGGGAAGGAGACATTCTTCTCTTATTCTACATAATTCCAGATTGCTTTAAAAAAAAGAAAGAAAAAGAAACACTGGGAATGTATCCATAGACTACTTCAAACATTAAAGTAAATCAACAAATGGCCCAAAAGGGAGTGAATTGCCAGAAGAACAGTCAAGGCTCAGCAGGATTTCTGACCGACAGGGAATGATCAAGACGCATGGAGGAGTGGGAGGTGCTGATCAGGACGCATGGAGGAGTGGGACGTGCCCGCTCTTCCTAGCTGGGTGGATGGCTGGCTACACGACCCAGGCATTCCCAAGTTCTCCTCTCTGGGGCTGGATACAGCTCAGCCCCCCTCGATGGTCTCTTCCAGTTTTTTGACCCCGAAGACTAAGAACCTCCATAACTCCAGTCAACCCCTCTCCTGATTGTACCTAGCCCCTGGCAACCCCTGGAAGCCTCCCGGGGCTTGAGTGAGCACATGCCTTCCTGCTCACCTCAACACAGGTGATGCTCTGTGCTCAATAAATGCAGGTATATTTGACCTCATCCCAACACCATGCGTGAAGCCTTCCTCAGCAGGAGAGCCTCAAGAGCTTCTGAAGAATCACGCGTCAGAAGCAGGGGTCAGTATTTTTGCCCGCCCTTAACATCCACTGCCCTCCCCTTGCTGCCTCTACCCGGTTAAAAATGCAGAAAACAAATGTTTGGCAACTGCCACCCCCACCAAGCTTCTCCCTGCCACCTCATTAATCACTCTGCTGCCGGGCGCTCACTTACCTGCAGATGTAATTCGTCTTGCAGGAGTCCTGCAAATTCAAACAGTTGGGCTTCTCTCTCTCCTCATAGGAGCACACGGGCACGATGGTCTGCCGCCTGCGCTCGGTACAGGCGATGTCCCGGCAAGAGCAGAAGAGCATCCCGTAGCTGTGCTTGGCGGGAACCTTGTCGAAGAACTGCCGGAGGGCCTTGTGGCACTTGCGTCGGTTGCAGACTTCGTTGGACATGCTGGTGGTGCACGGGGTGATGTACGCAGACCTGTACTTCTTGCAGGTGTCATCCAGGTTGCAGGCCTTGGCGGCATCTAGGCAGTTGTTCCCCTTAGGTATGTGTTCCACTGCAAAACAGGAGAAAGGCAGCAGCTGTGACCACACAGCTCAGATTCCAGGCAGCTCACACCAACACGGTTCACACTGAGTTCTTGCCATTTACCTGGCAATGTTGGGAGCTCCGAACAACTAAGCTAATAACTAGTGAGTGCATGGCAAGGAGCACGCATTAAGAGAGCAAGCTGTGGGAGGCCAGGGCCACACGCCAGCTGCACGTATCCTCTGGGATGTATAATTAGGAGGTACTGAGTGTGGCAATAGGAGCTCAGGTACCTGCCCAACTACTTGCAGACAAGGCAACAGGAGACTAAGTTTGCAACTCTTGGTTTGTAAACTGAAATTAGGTAACAGAAAGCAGTAACAAATTATATACTTGTTCATTATACATTATATGAAATGATATGCTGAATGCAAGTATAATTGCCATGCAATCCTCCAGGAATATAATTATGTAATAAATGCATATAGTACATGCTAATTACTATATGATTACAGAGTAATTACATGGTTATTTGAGCCCAGAAGACAAAATATTATGCCAGGCTCTCCAAACAGGAAGAAGCAACTACGGCGAAGCTGTATTTAAGTTCAAGCTCACAGGCCATTGGAAGGAAACCAGAATAAATTACATAAAAATTTGCAAACCTCAATTACCACGAAGCTCTCCACATACAGAATGTGGGCTCAACAAGCAATGAAGTTTCCGATTAGAAAAATTCAGCTAGTATTTTGGACAGCATTTTCATTGGCTTACAAACCAGAGGCTTCCAGACTCACTCAAAACATATGCTGCCTTCGCCACAGCCCCTGTGCTCCGAGCACCAGAGAAGCTATGCCATCCACTACCCACCATACGGTCTGGAGAGTGACTGTGGAGGCCAAGCTCACTGGGGTGTTTGAGCGGGCTGGTCAGGGCAACAGGTCGCTGGGTGATATGAGCACTTTTATGAAGGTTGATGGTTCAAGCTACTCAGTGGCATCACAGAAGAAAGGCCTAGCAAAGTGCTTCTGTAAAGATTATAGCAAGAAAATGCCACGGCACAGTGTACTTTGTAACACATAGGCTCACCATGCATTGGAGTTGACTCCACAATGTCGAGCAATTTCCTGTTCAGGTCTCAGCCCTCCATGGATTTGGTGACTTCCTTTCATCCTGTCTATGTGCTCCCAGTAGATGGAGGCCAAGAAGGCATTTGGGAAATTACAGGAGGCTAGAGAATTGATAGGAGCTCCGGTAGCATAGTGCCTAAAGCACTTGACTGCCAACCAGAAGGCTGCTGGTTCAAACCCACCGGCCACTCCTCGGAAGGAAGATGTGGCAATCTACTTCCATAGTGATACTGCCTTGGAAACCCAAGGAGGGGTTGCTATGAGTTGGGTCTGACTTGACGGCACATAACAACAACAACAAGAGAATTGATGTCCCTGCAAACAATGAATGTGCTCAGCTGCTAATGCAAGTTTGGAGGTTCAAGCACAGCTGCAGTGTCTCAGAAGTAAGGCCTGGCGATCAACATGTGAAAAACCAGCCATTGGAAACCCTGTGGAGCACGGTTCTAGTCTGACACACGTGGGGTTGCCATGAGTCAGGACTGACACCACAGCAACTGGCAAGAGAACTGACCAGAAAGGAGAATCCAGATGGGTCAGGTGGGACTCAGAGAGGGGACAATGCACTTGATATAGGTTTAAAGGATATATGCTGTAAGGCCAGCATTTCCAGGAAAGAGAGTCTCCACATTCTACAGAAGATTGCCTTGCTTTAAGAAAACCCAACATGCAAAAATCTGAAAGCACAAAATTACCATATCCCCTGGAACCACGAGTAGTGTTTTACTGTGCCCCAAGTTCATGTTTCTGCCTATGACATCTGAGTCCAAGAAACTGAATATGGAAGGCAATAAACAAGATAATGAAGCCCTTCTCGGGTAAACAGTGCAGGAAGCTCACAGCTGCACCTGCACCCCTGCTGGTTTAACAAGCGCACCTGGCACTGCTTCCCATCACACTCTTCCCAGGTCTGCTTGTCTCTGGCTGCTCCTCTCCAAAGTGAGGGTCCCTGGGACTCAAGTGGTGGAATAGTCACCCTGGGTCCTGATGTGTTATGGACTGAACTGTGTCCCCCAAAAGATATGTTGAAGTCTTAACCCTGTATACCAATGACTATGACTTGGTCTTGGGAAATAGCATCTTTCTTAGCAAACGTCATTAGCTAACAAAGTCTTACTGGAGAAGGGTGGGTCCTAATCCTAATCCCTTCCCAGAGGTGTCTTCTTAAAGGCAGGACACAGGGGAACAGACACACATACGGAGGGAAGGCACCATGTGAGGATCTGTCTATAAGCCAAGGAACACCAAGAAATGCCAGGGCTGCCAGGAGCTGGGAAGGTAAGTCAGGCTCTTCCTCTGCAGCTGAGAGAGAGCACAGTCCAGTCGATGGCCTGAGTTCAGACCTCCAGCCTCCAGAACCATGTGCTTTAAAGCTGCCCATTTGGGAGGATTTTGTCACGGCAGCTTTTTTTTTTTTTGGAAAACAAGACCTCTAGGTCTTGATGACACTCCAGCCTTCTCATCTTGTGAAGTTTCTAACATTGCTGCTCTTAGGGCCCAGGAAAGTGACTTATATTCTTGAAGGTCTAGGATTCTCTGGGAGATTTCTAAATTACACATATTTTGAGACAATTAAAATAAATTAATACACCATATTCCTGGATTCGCTCCTTAGGGCTGGATGTTGGTACATAATTCTCTTACCTGCATTTACATTTGCACTAGTGTCAAATGGTATTTTCTGATCTCTGGCTAAAATACAGAACAGAGGCACAGAGGTAGACTTAACTCTTAAACGATCTAGACAGTGATAAATGAACAAGTAATTCATATTAGTTCAAATAGAGGAAAATGGCAGAAGAATTAAGTCATCACATGCCAGCCAGTAATGCAGGCCTGCCAGATTCAAAAGCACTCGTTTGCAGAGGGGCTGCGTCCAGAGTGGAAGCACCAATTTAGTTTCAGCAAAACAATATCATTCTTTGTGTTAAATTAATGTTATTAACTTGCATTTCATTGTTTTCAAAGTTTTGTTCATACTTTGTGTGTCTGTTGCTTTTACAGTTGTATAAAAGCAAAGAATAAGTGCTCATAGTTTTATGTTTATGAATTTCAAGTAACATTATAATAACAAAAAGAGTTAACACATGATACCCAGGAAATTTTTTCTCTCTGAAAGTCATACATACAATACGCAAGCTTTGAAATAACTGGCCCGCGGTGTGCCTTCTTTGTTATAACAATGGTAATTTCCTTTGTAAAGTTGTTGGATCTAGAGAAGCTACTAATTAAGTTTTTCTTCTTAATGGTATCAAAAAAGAAAAGGAACATTTTAAAGGAAAAGCAACATTTTAAAGGAAAAGCTTTGTACAAAGTGGGCCTAGCTTGTAGCACTTTATACCCAAACCAACTGCTCAAAGTAAATCCGTTTAACAATGGTGTGATTTAGCTTCATTTTCTGCTGATTCTGTCTTCATTAATATGCAACCCAATGACAGATACCAGAATGTACAACCTGGAGTATTCACAGATGAAAATTATTGATTCATTTCTAGATTACAGCTCAATGCTGACTTTATTTGTGTTTCTGATTTTTCATTCAAAGGAAACATTTTCACGACTCTTCCCAACTTACATATGAGGACCCCCTAACGTCAACACCATAACCTGACAAAGAAAAACGAAGAAAACGACAGACCAATAATCCTCACAAACAAAGATGCAAAAATCCTTCATGAAATGTTAGTAAACTGACTTTAGCAATATGCTAAAAGGACAATACTTCATGACCAACTTGAGTTTATCCCAAAATGCAAGGTTAGTTTAATGTTTTAAAATTCATACAATTCACCATATTAACAGGATGTAGGAGAAAATCATGATTACTTTCCTCCCCAGCCAGGTGCCATTGAGACAATTCCAAATCATGGCACCCCTGTGTGTGTCAGAGTGGGAGTGTGCCCCCTAAGGTTTTCAATAGCTGGTGTTTTGGAAGCAGATCACCAGGACTTTCTTCCAAGTCACCTTTTGGTGGGCTCGAACCTCCAGCTTTTCAGTTAGCAGTTAAGCGTGTGAACAGTTTGCACCACCCAGCGACTCTTATTACTTCTGGAGATGAAGAAAACTATTCAACAAATTTCCACATTCATTCATGATAAAAACTCTCAGCAAACTAGAAATACAAGAAAACCTCCCCAATCTGATAAAGAGCACATATGAAAAACCTACAGCTAAAATCATGCTTAACAGTGAACTATTGTTTGCCCTAAAGTCAGGAACAAAGGAAAGATGCTCATTCGTATAATTTTACTCAACACTGTATTAGTGGTCCTAGCCATTGCAATAAAAGCAGTGGAAATAAATAAAAGGAATAACAATCAGAAAGGAAGGCATAAAACTATCTCTATTTGCAGATAACTTAAACAATACTAAGAATCTACAGAACAATGGCTAGAAGGAATATGTGACTTTAGCATGGTCAAACGATGCACGCTTACCAAAGATCAAGTGTGTGTTATAACCTAGCAGCCAAAAGAAATACGAAAATTAAAATTTGAAAGCTCAATTCCATTTACAATCGCACTAAAAAGCAAAATAAAATAAAGCACTGAAGAAGGAACTTAATAAAAGATATACAAAACTTCAAAAACATCAAATATTGATGAGAAAAAATAAAGACTTAAATAAAAAGGGATACATACCATGTTCTTGGATTGTAAGACTCAATATTGTTATACTTTCAATTATCTCCAAATCATAACCTATTTTGAAATTAACAGCTAATTCTAAATGCAAAGGACATGGAATACTCAAAGCCATTTCAAAAAGAACAACACAGTTTAAGAACTTTAACTGACTTCAAAGTGTAAAGTAAAGCTTCAATTATCAAGATAGTATGGCACAACATAGGCATACACAGAATGAACAGTGGGATAGAAGACAGAACTCAGAAATCACC